ACCTGAAGAAGGGTGCCCCTCAGACTGGTTACAGGATTTACTTTAGAGCTGGTTGCCAATAGACTAGTCAGGTTTTCTGAAACAAGAGGACAGACTATTTTTTGTCAGAATTAAGCCTTTCATGTGGAAAGGCGCTTCGTTTCTCAGAATAACTTGGGTTTTCATCAAACAACTTGAAACAGAAAATTGCCCAGCAGGTTTTGCTTGAAAGCTGTTCTTTATAAATACTTCACCAGGATTTTTTTTTTCCCACAAAGAAAATATTTCTGACTAGGTTAGGGGGAAATAACGACCAGATGACCAAATTGTCCACAGTATAAGAGCTCTTTGTTCATTTGTAGGGCATTATAAAGCTTCTGAAGTGACCCTGAAAAATTCAGTGATGCTTGCGGTGGTGTTCACAGCCGGTTTTGCCCTTTAGTCTTCTTGACATGCAACCTTCTGTGCACACAGTTTAAAGAGGCAAGTCTAAAGCATAGATGCTTGCCTTCCTATGTGCCTGTGCACTGGAAGGTGTGCGCACTGACATAGGCATGTCAGCAAGCGGAGGAGTAAGACAGACAACCATCTGTACAGACTGCAGTGCTTTGCTCACTCAGCCTACGTAGTTTCTGTAAGCAGATATGAAAGGGAAATGACAGTGGAGGGATGGAGGAGAAACCAAAGAACGGACAAGGAGAAAGGGAAGCTGAAGAGAAAGGCTGTTGCTGCTGCGAAGCAGATCCCTTAAGCAGAAGAATACTTACACAAGCATGGTGTCTACACAGCAGCTAGAAGAATCCACTCACCTGTATGACACTGAGGGTTAACCAAGGACTTCAGCTGTTGAAGTTAGCAGGCGTGTGTACTTCTGGTGCATGCTGATTCTACAGACCAGGCAAGACACCTAGTTGCTGCCTCAGCAAAGCCTTGTGTAAATTTATAGCATCACAGCCCCCCAGACTAATAATCGTGAGCAGCAGAAGTAATGAAGTCTGTCTGCCAAGAGACCGGTTTCCTAGATCCCTGTTCCTTTCCCACTGAAAAAATGAGCACGCCATCCCATCTCAGCCCCAGCAAGGCTGCCCGCACATAAGCTCCACCACCAGCAGACACCAAACGTGTCTGGTCTTTTACAACGACTTGTGACAGTTTTCCTTCCCCCTTCCACCCCCAGCATGCTCTACCCCTTCTCGGGTCCCTGAACTGTCAGGTGGGAAAGGGAAAGCCTGTATTTATCAGGCAGCTAGCCAAGCAGAACAGATAAATCGTGAGCTCACGCTGCAGGGCCTCAGACTGAATTTGGCTGAAATCCACTGTGAAATATAAGAACATGGGGAAGGAAAAGGAGAGAAATGACATAAAACAGACTCATACAAACCTCACCTCTACCCGAAACAAGTGAAGATAAGCACCAGCCAGATCATCTGGCTCATGGAAATAAGCCCGGGTGACAGGAGGACTCTCTAAGGAGCTCTTGCATCAAACTTCCTAGTCACCATCATAGGCTGGGTTTCTTTTTGCACTGTTCTTCCAGTAAGTTTCAGTTCCAGCTTCACCCTTGGTCACGGCATCACTGTGCTGTTTGCTTCAGAGCCTGGATTTTCCCTTTTAAAACATGTAGGTTACTACAACCCCAAAGAGTAATGACATTTCAGAGGATGCATTAATGAAAGGTTTAGCAGCTGAACTAGGTCAAAACCTAAACCCCAGTAACTGTTAACATTTTAATGGTCTGAGTACCACAAATGTAGCTCTAGAGTTCATGCTTGGCATTGTACAGGCAGATGGCTAGTTAAAAGAAAAGCTGAGGAAAAATAGGTTGTTTCAGGGCAGATACAGTCAGCAAAGCTTTCTCTAAACTGCTAAGGTATCTAAGTAGATCAGATACAAATATTTTCACCTGTGTCTAAGTTTGCTTCACAGTGGGTAATCAAAATCAGTCCCAAAGAATAGGCTTACCCAGGCCTGGCGCTGTAGTGATAAACTCCTCATGAGACTAGCTTGAGAAGCTGGACCTGATACTGCTCCTGTCAGAGCTGCAGACTCTAAGAACAGCTGCCTTTGACGGTCACACTTTTGCACTAGTAGCTGCTTTAATTATAAACCTGAATTGTAGTAAGGGCCTCACCTCCTGACTTAGTTGTAACAGTTGCAAATATTTACCTTACTTGGGCAAAAATCCTACAGAGCAGAATAAAAAAAAAGAAAAAAGAAAAAAGAGGAAGACATACATAATATAGCTGTGGCATAACCACAAGAATGACAGCAGAAATGAGTGTTTAAACCCCACCATTTTCATGTTGCATTCTTCAGAAATATCCCAGGTTCCATCTCAGTAAAACTCTGAAGAAACGAATTGGGACAGAAGATCGAATTGAGTGTTTTCAGTTTTGTTATAATAGTCAAACACATCTCAGGAGAAGGAAGTATCATGCTAACCATTAGTGACTTTTAACAGCAGAAAACAAAAGCCTCAGCTTCTCTTAAAAATTTAAGTGAATGCATAACTCAAACCAAAATGTTGTACGTGTCTTTGTACTGTGGGATTCAGCAGTCTGCTGCATATCTTTTCAAGAAAGGCGTCCAAAAGTGAGCAGATGCAGCAGCCCGAAAGTATCTTGGAATATTTAAGACGTACAAATTGTCTTTTTGTCTCAGAAAGGATCTCGATTTGCTTTTCCTGTTGAAAGTCACCTACACTAAAAGTGAATCATGAGAAAGGTAGCACAAGAATCTATTCCATGAGAGGAATAAGCACTATTTGTGATAACGTGCTGCCTGTTCCCTGCCTCTCTTTAGCTTTTCTGGCTGCTTCGAAACAGGAGGAGATACATAACCAGGCTGGCTAACCAGCACCAGGAGTAAAAGATGGGAACAGAAAAGAGTGTGACTGTGTATCTGTGTTCTATTCTGTACCTGTAAACAAACCCAAAACTCTACAGGAGACTTTATTGCTATAAACTGCACTTGAACTACTTAAGTGTTGTGTCCAAAGCGTCAGGGCTGTGTTTGACACTTTAAAGATACTGCTTATGCTGGCCAACTGTAGCATCTCCAAGCAAGCCTCAAAACAACCTCAAGTACAGTTGTTTAGTTGCTATTTATTACACTTCATGGTTTTGTTACAATCCAGTGCTCTCACCCTACAGAAAAGAAGCCACAATATTGCAGCTAAACTTACATAGTTGGTCATCTCCATTTCCTTCTTGAATTTGGAAAGTAGCCAAAGCAGTAAAAAAACCAGCAAGAAACCCTCATCTGCCCAGGCTATGTCAAAGTGCGCTAACTGCTACAGGATATAAATTACCTGAGGCTCCTTGAGGAGCAGAAGTTCAGCTACGTAAAAGTGATTCTAAGAGGTGGGAACCATCAGCAAGTTCACGTGCCTGACGTTCCTTCATACGAATAAGCCTTCTGAGTCATTCTCTCATGTGTGGCAGATATGTGCTCTCAAATGCAGATGTGTCAGATGATACAGAATAGATTCACAGAAAAAGAAACCAGGCATTTAGGAGAAAAGAAATCACTTATATTCTACAGACAAAGCCTTTTTAGTGTTTCACAGCACACTATCCAAGTGTAAGAACAACCACCCAAGCTACTTGTGCAGCAACAGTTTGGTTTGGCACCATCACTTAGCTGCATTATGCTCAATACTACCTGCTTGCATTAAGCTTTTACCCCTTTGCAGCTGGTAAGCTCTTACTCAGTTTGTAAGATGTTATACGTTAAATATTGGATATATTAGGAATAAAATCTTTCCAAACACATAAAAGGAATGTCATAATTACAGTTGACCTTTTACTGTCATTACATTTATGTGCCAGGCATCACATTCTCCTTAGCCAACAGATAGCTTGCTGCACTAGCTCTGTTGAGAGGAAAATCTTCCACGTGGAATCTTCCCAAGAACCTTGCTGTCTTCATAGATATGAGATGACAATAGCAGGGGCACACCTGAAATCCTTGGGTTTTAATGTGCACTGAACTGCTAGGAAACTGTTTAATTGGAAAGGTCATGGGAGACAGCATATCTTCTGAGCATAGCTCCAACTAAATGTCACCTTTTCAGTGATGCTTTTCTCATAGATTACATAAAAGGCAAACAGTCACCTTTCAGTGATACACACATCTACCACCTGCCTCCAAAAGGTAAAGCTTATATCCTCCAGTCAAATAGCAGAAACGCTGTCTTGCAATCTGTAGCTGTGGGAGGTACAAGAGCAGCCTGCACTCTGTGCCCCTCTCTTCTGTAGCCACACACCAATCAGAGCTAGAAGTAAACCTGTGAAATGTCACCTAGCAAAAATGAGACGTTCTGAAATTTGTTGTTGTTTGGCTGCTTTTTTAGCCTGAAATTGAAAAATGTGCATAAACCCAAAGATGCTCAATTTTGAACAGCAAATTGAATTCAGTCTCCCACATCCCAGATTAGCATCCTAAACCTTGGTGCACTGAGGTGCAAATGGATATATGGGTGATCTTTGCTCCCTCTCCTATGCAGTAACAATCTTGACAAGAGACGCTTTCTCAGTGTCAAACGCAGTACATGCACTGGAACAGATTTAGCTCTGATGAACTAGTATTTTCCAAAACAAACAAAATTTCATCCCTAAACTTACTGTGTCACTAGGACTGCTTGTAAAGAACAACTGGAAATCAGACCTCAGCTTTTCTATTCACATTATTACCGTCTCACTATTTTCCATCAGTGGATTATGGCTCTTGTTTATTTCATTGGCCAGCGTGGGGAAAGGGGAAAAGGGAAATCATTCTATTCCCTATTGTCCCCTGCTGTATCCACTCCAAAGTCTTCATCATGTTCTAACATAAATCCCTGGAGCTTCTCGCTTCTAGTACTACTCCTAGTTAAGCAAAGGAAGAGTAAAAACCAGTCTCAGGACTTTGTGATAATTATTCCTTATAATCCCTGCCCATTCTTAGTCTGTCTCATGGAAGAAACCAAGAGATTTACTGTCCACAGAGTGCAAGGAAAAAAGTGAAATGCAACAAAAAAATTTATCATTTTATCAACTTTAACAAAAACTGCAAATTATAAAGCAGTCAGCTGTTTGGAGAGGATTCAGATACACATTTAAATGCCAGCTGAGAATATTTAAACAAACTATGTACAACTGTGTCAGTCATCAACTGCTGAACACTAATCAATGTAATCCAAATCTTCTGGGATGCCAAAACCTTTGTCAATTCTGCTCTCTTCCAATCCAAATTTACGCTTGGCCCAGGACTTTATTGAAAAGATATTATCTGTAAACAGAATGAAAAACATCCAGTTTTGAGTATTTAGGGAAGCATGAATTAGTCTTGGCTACAACAAAATCCTTCCATTTGCATTATCTTTGTGCAGATGAAACAGGTACATAATGGGGAATATCATTATTAAGGAGATTGAGAACAGAAAACAGGAGGCTTTTGTTAATGACATATTTTCACTAAGTAAAATATGTCTTCTTTTTTTGGAGGTTCCCTTAATCTTTCCTTGCTTCTTTCCTATGGGAAGACTGAAAGCCACAATTACAGTGTAAGCCTCCTATAGAGTGATGAGTGTGTGAATATGCATAATAAGTATTTTTTATGTCCCTTTTCAACTAGACACCTGCTGGGTGACTATCTATAACTGCAAAAAGATTCAAATTAACTACAAGGCCTGTTCTAGTCCTGCTTTCATTTGTTCAAATAACACACGTTTTTTTGAAAGTTAAAAAGACAAAAAGTAGCTTAATTTTAGTCAGCACTTCTTTTTAGCATCACATTACTATTATTTTAGCATATACATTCTTTTCAATTTAACATAATTTTTCACTGCGGTATTGATTGAAACTCACTACGTCATTCCTAACACCCATAAATTACAGCATTCCTTAAGACATGAAGTGTCCGCTGTGTCTAAACACACCATAGAAATATTTTATTGTCTTCAGCCATCAGGCATTTGGTTTTAAACTGTCTCTTCAAAAGAAAAATATGCTGCAGCACATAACCTAATTGTCTTATGAAACAGCAAAAGCACTTTCAACAGGCTGAGGCATAGTTCCTTTACCTCTCTCAAGACCTTGAGAACAGCCTGTCATCAGCCACAGAAAGCCCTGACAACAGTAGTCCCAGAAGTAATTTTCAAATACATAACTTTATTTCCCCATATGCAGTAAAAACCCCAGTGCAAATGAAGATATAAAGTAGTAATAATCAAAAGACTATGACAATGATATCATGCTGCACTTGGCATAACCACTGAGAGCGAGCAGTCTATCATTAGAGGATGGATTCTAACAAAAAAAAAAAAAATCACAAACTATGTTGTAAATAATTAAAAAAGACATACATATTGCTTGCTCTGCAAAATGGAAATATATAGCAATATAGCAAAGCTAAGCAACAACAGAAGATTGAGTTAAACTTCCATACAAATGTTACCACAGTAACCTTCCTAAAAAACATGCAGCATTTTTCCTACTTGTCAAAGCCGTCGAATTAGTATGAGAAATACCTACTTTATATTAGCATCCGCCATATGATAGCAGCAATAAGGTTCCAGAAAACATTCTACTCTTTAGAAACAGACAAAAACTCAAAACAGAAGAATTAGACTTCTGAATACCTGGACACAACCATTTCCAGTCTCTTTCTATTAGTGTTTTCCTGAAGTTATGAGATTTCAACTCAGCCAAGAAAATGAGTTGTAGGTCTTAACACAGTGTGTGAGACTGCACCAGAAGAACAAATCTAGTATGTGATGTGAAGTACATTCAGCAACTAAACTGAGAAAACGTACTCTTTTTTTTGAGCCATAGTCATTTACAAGTAAATATATTGCTGCATGCTTTTGTAAGTGAGGTCTATCCTGTATCAAGTCCTAATCAAATTTAAAATTCACAACAAGTAGGTCCTTTACTAAAATTGCTCTAGTCTGAAGCTGTGTTAAGCAATATAAATGCATACCCACCAGTCCATCTATTGGCTGCCTCCTTAGCTACTTTGTTTGTTTGACCTGAAATAGAGAAGAAAACCACAACAAAATATCATAAATCACAGTATAATCATACCACAGTTGCAAGGCACAGAGATTAGATTTTTATTGATGTAATTTTTAGGGGACCACACAATATAAGGAAGTTATCCTACTGCTTCCAAACTCTTCTTCTGTTTTACACTTTCAAGGTTCCAGCGAGCATGAAGCTAAGTTAAAGAAAACCAGGAGCAAAGGAACATAAAAGATACCATATGAACAAGTGTGAGTTTTTGAAGTGTATTTTAAAATAAAATAATCCTGGTTTGGTTTGCCTGAGGGCTTAATTGGCTGTACCAAAACTGGAACTAGATACATGGCCTGAAGATACTAGAAGCAGCAGAGATGGAAAATATTTTACAATCCTCTCTATGCATAAGTAACCCATCACATAGATATGCATGACACTACATAGATAAGGAAAAGGGTAATAGCCTATCACATTAACCCAAAAGTTTATCATATCACTCTGGAAGGTTTCCCGGGCTTTTGAGAACCACCTCAATGAAACTAAGAGAAAGTAGCGTTCCTGGTTATTAAACTTGGCTTCCCTCCCTTACCACTGCTCCAGATCTAAATGCATAATAGTAAAATACCATTACTACAAATAGCTTTTATATAGTTTCCATGAGGCAAAACAGCATCAAGAAAAATTCCTCTTAGATCACCTTGCTCCCATTAAAGTAAGTACTGAAGCAAATCAAACAGGTTGGTTTGTAACGTGGGAATCTATCAGAATCATTATGGTTCTCACGCCTACACATAGCTTAGTTATTCCCACTTAGTCTTGTTAGTACTTGCATGATAATACTCATTTGAATGGTCAGCATGAAATCTGTCTCCAGGGGTACTGAGAAGTGAATATGTGATCAGCTATCCATTGTTATAAAGATTACACTTCAGGCAAAATGAAATTACGTTGAAAAATCATTTGCTAGCACACAGGAAGGTAAACAGTCATTATTCCACCCTTAATACTTCAGTAACTGATGTGAAAAATGTTTAAAGCAGTAAAATATCATTTCAAAGCCAGTGGAGCTTCTAGAAAAAGCCTACAATTATAGGCACAGCATGAAGCAGAGTGAAAAAGATGGGGTGGACGACGAAAAAGGGAGTGGGTAAGAAGACAGCATTTTGCTTGCTTGCATGCATCAGAAATTCAAGTTATTCCTGCCTTGAGAGATACTCCTTATTTTCCTTCGCTGACTGCTTGTTGCCACCCCCACTTGTTCAGTCCCATGACTGGCAGCACTAACAGCATAGTGACAGCCAATGGCATGCTGAACAGAACTTTTACCTAACACTGCTGAAACCAAGCCTGCAGAGTAAGGGCTTTCAATGCTCAAGATTTTACATGTGTTACCAACAATACTTCCTCAGCATTTTCTAAACTCTAAAGTAAAACTGTAAAGCTTTACCTGACTCCAAGTACTGAAGATTGAAACGAAGCTATGGGGGAGATAGGATAGTATTAAGCTCTGTGGATCCAGAGCTGCAAGGTGACAGCAGCCTGATGGTGGGTGAGCCAGCCTAGTCCACAGCATCCACCAGGTCTCAGCAGAAAGCTCTGCTTTGCTGGAAGCAGCTAACCAGCTGAGCTTCTGCATCACACAGCAGCTCTTAGCTCCTGCAGCTTTCAGCACATAGCCCTCTACTTAAAGCCCAGTGACCAAATAGGATGGTGCATTAAAAAGAAAAATAATAGTGGCAGCATGGTGCATTGTCACCCTTTAAATATTGCTTATGTGTGTTAAATCATGTGTTCTAATGATGATCACATTTCATGTGATCATGTGTTTTTAAAAATGTGACTTTTTATCTCTGTCAAAGAAAAGGCTGCAGTGATCAACAGATACAGGCTGGGCAACAGGGTGATTAGAATGGCAGTGGCTGCTTGTAACTGAGCTGTGGTTGGAAATGAAATAATGGTAGCAAGAGCAGGAAGCTATAATCAGAAAATCCTGCAGTGGGCAGTGCCTTCAATGGCTTAAATAGCAGAGAAATAACAAAAACCAAACAAACCAAAATAACCCCCTGAGGTAAAAGTTATAAAAATAAAAAGAAGAACTATTTTAACCTTATCATTCTTTCCATGCACCACCTGGGACTGATCACAGACCGGCAGCAAAGTGTCATGGTAGAAGTGTGGAAGGATCACAAGTGGAGGCAGAACTTCAGGATGGGGAAGGTGATGTTCAAACAATCTGGCTGAGTATCAAAGAAGAGGCTGCCTCAGAGACTGGTAACACACGTCCCCCACATTACTCTGCTGCCAGGGGGCTCAGAGCTGGGGAAATGAGGACTTACAAAGCCTCAGGCACACAACATCTCCAGGAAATGCATTCACAGGAGGCTGAGGCAAGTGTTTGCTGCTCGCTATTTCCCATTTACCCACAGCCCCTGTGTGTATATAATAGCACCATAGGGATGCAGGTATGGATTTATTCTGCCATGTTGACAGTTGCTTAGACCATCAGGCATATTGTATTAACAGCAATGCCAGCTATCTTGGCAAGCTGCAAGACACACGTGTTCTTCACATCCAGCCTGAGGAAGCTCATGCAAACAAGAGAGCTTGCACCATCTCTTGTCATCAGGTGAGACAGTGACTGCCATGGTGACTGCTGTAGGATGGCACTGCACCCTGTTTAACCACCAATTCCTTCACTTAATTTTCCCCTTACGTTCCTCTTTCAATTTGTGGTGAGGGAATCACCTCATCCATCTCCAGAAACTCAGCTGTTGCCCCATAGCCATAGGTCAACATTTAGCTATCTGAAGGCAAGATTTAAGTTCCATTGGACCAGGCTCAACCCTTGCCTATGTTTCTGCAGGATCTTGTCTGCCTGCTGTATCCAACACCATGCCTAAAAGAGGAAGGACAGCCAGGTATTGGTAGTTATGAATCTGCATCACCTGAAGGCACCAGCTACATCTGCATCATTGCCAGTACCTTCCAGAGGCACCTGACTCCACCACAAAAATTGAGAAATGAAGGAATCTGCCCACAGACTACTTTCTGGAAGCCTTTCATAGTTGCTTGTTGGGACTTTAATTGGTTGCATCATCTGTAAGTGTCTGTGCACGGAGGGTGAGGGAAAGGAAGAAGAGTAAAACAGACATCCCCAGACACTCCTTCTTTATGTACTGGTGTAGGCTGAAGACATGCTACTTCCGACTGCCTATTCTCTGGCTCCACGGCATCACACAACCATTGGCCTCCTGGTTTTTAGACTGCATTGAATAAGAAAGTTTAAGATCTAAAGACGACAATAGCACAAGAACTTAAAAATGTATATACCAAGGAAGAATCAGGACAAAAACTGTGTGAACTGAAAACAACACTCGAAGACAACACTGAGGTCAACTGGCTAATTGCCAAAACTAACACAACCTTTGGGTCCTGAGCTTGGCTGGAGCCCTGCTGATCCTCCTGCTGACCACAGCTGCTCTATCAGAGCTTGATTTTTGGCAGCTACTAAATAATGCTCCTGTACTGAAGCTGTGCAAGGCAATGAAAGGGTCAAATGTGCAGAAGAGGTGAGCAATACAGGAGGCAACATATGCTCCAGATGCTTCCAAATGTTTTCATTACCGCTATTAGGCCCCAGTTACACTGTGTAGCTATACATCTGCACAAAAGCTGACAATATATACAATTGGTATCTGTAAGCATCAGAATAATCCATTTGTTCTGGACGTGATACAGTTATTTCACCAATTTGTGTGATAATGCATCAATAGACTTTCCTGCTCCCATGCCTGCAGGATACAAATCATCCACATGGCTCAGGCACACACCTGTATCCTCCACTGGCTTATTTCAGGCACACTTGGCAGTTTCAAAGCAGGAAAATAAAAGCTTGCATTTTCTCTCCTAAACTGAAAAAAAGCAACCACCGTGAGCACAGCAATGCAAGGCTCAGGAGCAACATGGCTTGCAACACTGGTATGTTGTATTAGCAAAACACACCAAGAAACATGCTTTAAATGGTGAAAGGCTAAGGGTCAAGGAGTTAGAACTGACTGGTCTGCATGGAAGTCTGCCCTGAACCCCAGGTATCTGGAGCATTGCAGGGAACTCAGAAAGCCCAGATTCTGGGAACTGAGCCATTTTCCTAAGCATCTGTGATTGTCCTTATCACAGGGACAATCCTCTGTACCCCCTTAGAGAAAAGCAAAGGTAGGGTGAAAGGAAGGTCCAGCAGCAGAAATGAATGTCTAAAAATAGTGAGGGAGCATTAGAAACATGCTTTTTAATGCAGGAAAGTGACATTCTACCAGTGACCTGCAGGGATTCAGGAGCAGATCAGGAGACAGAGCTGACAAAAGGGCATGTGGACAGCTACAGGAGGTGCAGTAAGAACCCTTCTGAAGCAAATGGACATACCTAGTGAGAGACAAAGGCCAGCAGCACAAACCATTAACACTGCAATATTTCTGAACAAATCTGAACTGGCAATACATAAGGCTATGTCGTTTCTGGTTTGACGCAGGAAGCCCTACAGTCATTCTCAGCATAATGCAGAGCTACAGCCTCCTCTTTCCTCTCTTCCTTCTTTCTTTCCCCCATGTTTGCTCACTGTCTTCCTGGAAGGGGGTGGTGATGGAAATTAAAGGTCTTATTTGCATTCCAAAATGGAATGGCCAAACCTCAGATACTTCCACAAGGGGAAGACCGCTACATACCTCATCAACATAATACATATATATATATATACTCCAGGAGACTGTTAGTCTTTCTATCAGACTTTGAACACTTCCAAGGTAAAAAACAATTACGGTAGCAACAACTACCACCATCTCCTCACAAACATTTTCCAAACCTACTTTTAGGTTCTTTCTAAAAGATTTTTAATCCCTGTGCATATCATTAAAGGAATATTAAAGAAGTGGTCACTGAATAGTATTCAAAATCAGACTGTAAAGGTAACACATTCCAGCTCCAACAGCTATACTAATAAATAAATACATACACACAC